TTCTCCCAGGTCAGTCTCCTGACCCGAAAACCAACACCACTACCGCTTCCGCGGGAAAGCAAACTGCAAGGAGTCAGCGGGACTGGCCGACTTAGGTGTGGAGTGAGATGTTGCCCTCCTCCAGGGGGTTACACACACACACAAACACACACACACACACACATTTGAGGTGAGCATCCTACCATCATTTGCCTCTAAGCATCTACAACTTCGGGAGGAGGCATGTAACCTGAGGATCTCTAATGGGGAAGCCTGGAGGCTCCTGGGTAAACATCTTGCATTCTGAAAAGGGAATGATGCCTCAGATAGATCACAGAACACACCCAATAGCCACAAGACCAGGACAGGGTGCTGTCCCTACAGGAGTAACTTCCAGGAACAGGCACAACTGAACACACCCAGACCATTTACCATAGCCATCTCCGGGTCCTTTTTCGGGCTGGTGCTGCTGTTCATCCTGGGAACCGGTCTAGATTCTGGATGGGACAAAGGATGGAGTTTTATTGTGGTTTGCATACCCTCCGTGCCTTCCTCCTCCATCTTACACTCTTTCCCCCACTCGGGTCCCTGATCTGAAGAGAGGGTTTCCCCACATGATTCAAGTGACTTCTTCGCTAAGAGAGATACCAGTCACCTGACTCTTCCGGGAGACACTCCAGGACCCAAATTCCAGTGTTTCCATAAGTAATCAATCAACAGTGGACAGATTGGAGTACAACTGGCTGGAAATTAATACCAAAATTGGGGTGCTCAATACAGATCCAAAATAAAACAAAAATAAAAGAATCTCCATAAGGGGTAAATGCCATTTTTCTCAAATTGCTTTTATTTTTTTCTGTAAAGCCTTCTCCATTGCGTGAAGGTGGGAAGGGAGCTCAGGCTCACAACTCCAGGCTCAGCTCTGCAGTAGGGGGATGGTGGAGGGGGTGGGGGTGGGGGCCTGCAGTCAGGGAGGGGCGTGAGCTCCACTTGTCACAGGGACGGGTGCCCTGCTGACGGTAGGCACCTGAGGAAAGCACCCTCCCGTCACGCCTTCAGACAACCTGCTGTCCTTAGGTAGTGCTTGTGATTCTCTCTAGGACACACAACGATCACCCACAAGAACAGGGAGGACATCAAGTGCTTTCCCAGCAGAAATCAGGCTCCTGCATTTCACAGCATGCTCCCTACCTCTCTGCACACGGTTCCATATCTCGGATCTTCCCGGCATCGGTTCCTGCCTCATGGATCCCTCAGGCAGCGTCTCTCTCCTCATCATGTGCAGTCTTGAATACAGAAAAAGAATGGACGTCTATAAGAATTACAACACCATGTCTTCTACCAGACACTAAACAGCTTAGCCTTGACCCCTCAAGACACCCATAAAAAGGCACGTCAAACCCGCATACCTGTGTTTCATGTAGGCGTTCTCCCTGCTCTGCTGCACTACTTCCTCTCCCAAAACCGAGCCTTGACCCGGGGGAGAAAAACACATCCACCCTCAGTTGTGCCGGACTGTGCCCCAAACGAAGAGGAAAAAGAAAACACTTACCCAATTATCTAGAGCACTTCTCTCCTGAGCTGCGACCTGAAATAGTCAATTCACCAAGAGCTCATGTTCAGGGATCTAAGGGCCACTTCCATCACCTGCAGGAGGCACGAAGGGGCCAGTATGTTGGGGCAGAACGCAGGTTACCTTGTGTTTGAAGGTGAGCTCTGCCTTCTGCAGCTGATCTTGCATTTGTCCAATTTCTTGTCTGTGAGTTATAAATGCTTTTGTCAGATAAAGCCCAATATTGGGTGTGATTTTAGTTTTTTTTTAAAGATTTTATGTATTTATTTGACAGGGAGAGACACAGT